CTGTTGCCTTTGTTATATATATATAACATGTATATATATGTATATATATGTATATATATATATGATTTTTACAACCCCTGGTAAGCCCCAATTATGGGAGGAAGCTAACTGCTTCCATCATCTGTCAATAGGCTCGTCACAAGAGTCCATCATGACAGAAACCCAATATTTTTACTGTTGCCTTTGTTATATATATATAACATGTATATATATGTATATATATGTATATATATGTATATGTATATATATATATATGATTTAAACAATATTTCCAAATAGAATAAAGGTGTTTTTGGATAAAGGCATCACCTTTAAGAATTATATTTATATTTGGTCCTATAACTACCTATTTTTTTAAAAGAAATATTTTTTTTATTTTTTTAGAAATATCACTTTGAATAGTACACACTAGAATAATGTGACCATTTTGTGGGATTCATTATCAAAACTAATAGAGACCTATCTGTATGCCAAAGTTAAAACAGCAGAGGGTGATGTCGTTGTCTTTTCCATAAATTATCATTCACTGCAATATGTGAAACAAAATATAATGAGATATAGAGAAAAGGATATTTTCCTGGTTTTTCTACACCTACTCGGTAATCGGTGTAACTTTGAGATGGATGAAAATTAAATACAAATAGGAGATTTGCCCTTTCGTAAGCAATAACTTTGTTTGATTGATGCTTTTCACTCACATAGGCCTGCAAGGAATAATATAAAAGTAACATTATATACTATTTAATTTGAACACAAACTTCATAGAAACAAAAAATATTTGCCAGGAAACATCTCCGTGAGTGTCCTTGAAGAACTTTTTGTTTCTCTTTGCATCTCATGCAAACAGAAGGCATTAACATACTTCATTGTACCATTAATTTAAATTACTTAAATTTAATATATTTTTGTATTGAATTAAACCTTCATTACATTTATAACTGAAACAAGTAAGCATATGGTATAGTTTATAGTTAACAAGATTCTTGATGAACAGAAGAAGCAAAAATATAATGTATCAGAAAGTGAAACATTTTTGTACTTTTTATTGGAAAGGAAATTGTAAGTATCTAACCAATAAACTTTTTGAAAAATATGAATGGATTTACCTGTATATAACTTTTTAAAGGCATGTTTTCCAACAAATGAAATTGAAGAACAGTGTTATGTTGGATATAAAATTTTAGAATCAAGACAAATAATTTGTTTGAAACAGTCTTAAACAAATATGCATATTAATAGTTACTTTATTAATTTTTTCAAATGCAATTTCTTTCTGATTAAAATGCTGAATGTGCCTAGCAATGAAAACTGTTATATAACATTTAAAAATTATATATACTTTACCGGAAGTGATGCAAGCCAGCCAATTTTTTCTTCCAATTTATTCATATCTCTGTCAAACACATTTAGGAATCTATAGCGAAGAAGTTGATCATCAGCTAAATTAAACTGTCTCCTTGCATAGTGGTAGCTTTCATTATTGCCTTGTCTAGGAAAGTCTAACCACTCTGGATGTCCAAATTCATTACCTATTTTTTTAAAAAAACATGGAAAGACATGAAAAATAAATGGATCTTCGGTAAATATCCTTGGAAAAGGATTTAAACACTGTTGCAAAAAAACTCTGAAACAATATTAAAAGCTGTTGTTACAATGTAACTATCTATGATGTTTTACATACTGTAAAAAAATTGTGTTGCTAGATACTAAACAAATTGAGCAAGTTTGTACTCCTCAATTACCATGTACTGTTTAAAAATCGTACCAACTTAATGAGTAGGAAAGCAATTTAAAAATTATTACTCTGACCTATTTGTCATTATATATTAGATTTTTTGAGGAAACATAGTTGAAGTAAATCAATCAAGATGACTTCCTACAAAATATAATGGATTATAGAGGGAATTGAACGGACCATGACAAGTTTGAACTAATTATTACTCTCAAAGTCACCCCATCTATCTGATGAAAAAAAAAGAAAGAAGCATTTACCAAGACATTGTCTTTTGCAATTCTCTCTAGTTGAAAATCTTAGACTTGTAGGCTATATAAGAGATAGTAAATGAAGTTCCAAATACAGTTGATATAAAAATTGTTTTCAGGAGTGGTTTTGCCTCCTTCCTAGGGCTGAGGAAAAGTGATTGGCCAAGGTCAGCCAGCTGTTTTTATGCCTAATAGCAAGCAATAGCACTATATACCACTTTACAATGCTTTACAGCCCTCTCTAAGCAGTTTACAGAGTCAGCATATTGCCCCCAACAATCATTTTACCCACCTCAGAAGGATGGAAGGCTGAGTCAACCTTGAGCATGGTGAGATTCGATCTGCCAAACTGCTGGCAGCTGGTCATTAGCAGAAGTAGCCTGCAGTACTGTACTCTAACCACTGCACCACTGCGGCTCTAAGGTGGGACTACAACTCATGCTCTTCCAGTTTATAGGCTGATNCCTGAGCCGGTGAGATTTGAACCGCTGACCTGCTGATCTAGCAGTAGCCTGCAGTGCTGCATTTAACCACTGCGCCACCTTGGCTCTATTCACAACATAACAACTGTAACAATTACCTTGTAGGATAGACAGGCAGAAGACTAGTAGAGTGCATCCATGAACACCAACTATCGATCAGAAAATACAAGGAAATCTCCTTAATTTCACACTACATAGACAGACTCAGCCATAATTTCAACTGGAAAACTGTCAGAATCTAAGCTAAATTCAAAAATGTGAAATAATTACAGGAAACCTAATAATTACAGGAAAACAAGTTACCAATCAACAGGCACATAAACAACATTTGCATACCTTTCAAAAAAGACAATAAAAAACTAAAAAGGAAACAAAAGCAACAACAAAAAGAGAACATAACTTCACCAGCAATCAATATCCAGATAAACAGGACTGATGAACAATCCAGCAGTAAATAAGCAGGTGCCCTGGTGGCATGGTAGTTAGCATTGCAGGTAAATTATGTCCATAGCCTGAGTTTGATCCTGGTAGTGCTCAAGGTTGATTAAGTATTCCATCCTTCAGGTTGGTAAAATGAGTACGCAGATTGTTGGAGGCAATATGCTGACATTGTAAACTGCCCAGAGTGCTATATAAAGCACTATGGACAGGTATATACTGTAAGTCTAAGTGCTATTGCTAAATAATATCCTAATTAAGCAATTGCATATTCAGCCAGACAATCAAGCAGTAAGCCTAATCAAGGAACAACAGATGCCACCTTTGTGCCCTTTTAAACAGCTTTTTAGAATCCCTTCTAATCATACACCTTGTATGATTGTATTGTAAACATAAGACAAAACTGTGGACAACAGTTGATGAATTCTAGGTTCTCTTGTTTCATTCAATCATGGTTTGTTCCAGTAGTCCATTATTTTGTCAGATTCTGGTAGCCTAACATTTGATGTGGACTTTGTTAATTTGGACAATGTCCACACCAGTATGACTCTCCTAGTTCATGTAATTCTTTTATATTATATATATATATTTCAACAAACATAGACAGACAAGACATCTAACATAAAAGTATCTTCCATTACATACAGTGTGTCGATTGGTCACAGAGTTTTTGTGCATCCTTTCCATAGTCATCACTTAGTAATTCATGTTATTCTTATATTTGAAATAGATGAAGTCTAAAGGGTCTCTAAAGGTAGGTAATATTCAGCTGAATAAATATATATATATATGTATATGTATATGTATATGTATATGTATATATATGTATATATATATGTATATATATGTATATATATGTATATATATATGTATATATATGTATATATATGTATATATATATATGATTTATATGTATATATATGTATATATATGTATAT